ACATTATGGCCACTTGGGAGTAGCCAAGCAGACGCAAGTCCTGTCGCTCCTCTGGCTCGACGCGTTCTATGCCGCGCGCCTCAAGGTTGTACGCGACAAGCTGTCTCTCAAAGGACTTCCACATGTCCTGCCACTTGCTCTTTTGTGCCAGGTCTTCATTCTCAGTATCGCGTGCGCTGACAGGCAGTCGGAGCTCGTTGCTCGCATGCGGCGCAAATACAGATTTCTTGTCATTAGGCGGGTTCGTGTTGGGTTCCATGACGTCGGCGACCTACAGCCATTAGTAGCAGCCTCGGAGCGAGGGAAGCAAAGCATGAGTCCTTTCGCAGGCTTTAACCTGATCAAGTTCAGACCGTATATCTCAGATCGCCGCCAACAAAGACGTTGACGAGCGAACACCGGTCTCATGCGCTGTGCTATCTGACGTTACCTTGATCGGGCTTTCTGCTACTCGGATGCATCCTGGCTATATTACCGTACTTGTAAGGAGACAACGACGCGTTCTAGGAAATGAGAATTGGGTATGAAGAGGTGAATTGAGTGTCAATGGGAGCGAAGAGCGAAGGGGGACATGATCAAGAACCCCGCTATCGTGCCGTCCCGAAAAAAACTTGCGCCTTTCCCGTGTCTTGGAGCCCTCACGTAATTAGACCAGCTCAACTTGCTCACCATCTTTGAGTTATAACCGAGGGTTCGCGCATGCGCAACAGACACGCGTAGTGATGGTGGTGGTACCATCGCAACCCTCCGAAGCCATAGCTTCCTCCAGTTCACGCGGTGCAACTTCGGGTCCAGCCTTGCCGAGCTAACATCAGCGCGTCAATGCTGCAACGACGCGTTATCTCTGACGGAGCTACAACTTCATCTTGCACCACGGCAAAAGCACTGCGGTGTCGCCGACGAGCACAGACGACCCATGGCGACGTCACCTTACGCATCCAGCAAGTACACGCGGCGCTCTTATCATCTTCGGCGTTTACCAATCATCTGGCTTGCTTCGGCGCTTGCCCGACCTTGCACACCATGCTCTTTCCATCCAGCTGCAGATTGGTCCTCTCCGTTCCTGCGTTTAGCATTTGGTATACCACTGCCCTACTGTGTTTTCCCTCAGGCTATGACTCTATTAGGCAGGTCCGTATCTGCTTAGTGACGCATCAACATCGAATCATCGACATCCGCAAGATGCAACTCGCCGGTACTACTGTACCTCGAGTACAATTACCATCCCCGGTTCTTCCTGTGGAACTAATGCGGGGGAAGGTAACGGAGGCTAAACCAGACAGGACTACACTTGAAATATGTACCCTAGCAAGCACTATCGGATGAAGCAATAAGTACCTGCCGGGGTGCGTCAGTCTTGAACAAGCTTTACATTCATCCGAACCATTCTTCGGAGTTTATCCACCATGAAGCTGGCAAGAGCGTTACTCATGACCGCTGGTCTTGCGCCAAGACTAACTTTTGCTACGTCTGCGACTCTTGGGCGAGACAACAACAGCACGTGCAGGAAGACCACTGTCGCCATCATGTATGTTCTACTTAGACAGTAGAGTCCAATTGGCTGACCGTGTGTAGAGGTGGCGGGGTTGCTGGTATCACAGCCGCAGTAAGTCTACATGAATATTTGTTCTACAGAGGGAGACGCCGGCAAGACTGAACAGCGGCCGGATGGATCGGCCCGTCCCACAATTACTTTAGACATGCTTCTTTATCCATATACTAACGATTTTTAGCAAGCACTTGCCAACCAGTCCGTCACTGACTTCCTGATTCTGGAGTATCAAGATCACATTGGTGGCCGCATGCGAAACACCAAATTTGGCTCTGATCCCAGCGGCAACCCTTACACCGTCGAGCTAGGCGCGAATTGGATTTCCGGATTAGGTGAAGATACCGTCGACGGCCCAGAAAACCCTGTCTGGACTTTCTCGAAACAAGTCAATCTTTCTAGTCCCAATTCTGACGCCTTCTCCATCGCGACCTATAATGAGACGGGTGCTGTAGATTACACGGATATACTAGATGAGTTTGAGGAGTACTGGAGTATCTTCGAACAAAGCGCTGGTACTATACTATCAGAAAACTTGCAAGACAGAAGTTTTCGCGCCGGCCTGTGGCAAAGCGGATGGAGACCGAAGGGCGACCCTGCACGCAAGGCTGTCGAGTACTATCTCTGGGACTGGGAGACTGCCCAAGTAAGAATTATCCGAGAGCAAACATCCCTTATACATGCTGATAGGTCCGCTCATAGACACCAGAGGAGTCGAGCTTCGTTTATGGTATCACAGGATACAACCTGACTTACTACGCTTTCTCAGAGATTAGTAACTGTATGAAATTGAATTGTGGAAAACGATCTAGACTAACTCAAACTTTCGACAGTCTGTACCGACCAACGCGGTTTCAATACGTGGCTCAAGCATCAAGCGTCCAAATTCCTAAAGCCCAACGATCCACGCCTCCTTCTCAACACTGTCGTCTCAAATATCACCTACTCAGATACTGGAGTACACATCACCACCTCGGACGGCTCATGCGTAGAGGCTGACTACGCCATCTCTACCGTCTCACTTGGTGTGCTACAAAACGACGCCATCACATTCGAGCCTAAACTCCCCGAGTGGAAGCAATCCGCCATCGCCACGTTTTCATTCGGCACATATACCAAACTCTTCTTCCAATTCAACGAAACCTTCTGGCCAGATGACAAGCAGTTTTTCCTGTACGCCGATCCAACGACACGCGGATACTACACTGTTTGGCAGAGCTTATCAACAGAAGGCTTCTTACCAGACTCCAACATCATCTTTGCCACACTTGTCGACGAACAGTCTTATCGCATCGAGGCACAAGACGACGAGACCACAAAGGCCGAAGGCATGGCCGTTCTCCGTAAGATGTTTCCCAATACCACTATCCCAGAACCGATTGCCTTCACCTACCCGCGTTGGTCGCAAACGCCATGGTCTTACGGATCCTACTCCAACTGGCCTGCCGGCACCACGCTCGAGATGCATCAAAATCTTCGCGCAAATCTAGGCAGACTATACTTTGCTGGCGAAGCAATGAGTGCGGAATACTTTGGCTTTCTTCACGGCGCGTGGTTTGAGGGCCAAGAGGTGGGAGAACGTATTGCGGGGCAGATTACTACAGAGTGTGTCAATCGTGGGAGTGGATGTGGATCGTACAACCGCTACGAGGTCTTGCATGGAACCACTGAGTTGTGGGAGGTCAATGCATTTAACGGAATGGGGACGAGTCCGTTCTTTGTTGCCGATACTGGGGAGGCAGAGTAGATGGGTGGCTGGAAGCAAACGCGGCCGCGTGAGACATGGCGCTTTTGGAATCGTTTTGCTACACGTCAGGCGTATATTGACTTTTGGAGTCATCAATCAAGAATCCGAGACGCTAGCAGCTTCGTACTTCTTTCTTATCGCTTTTCTTCCTTCTCGTCTTCCGTTTTCAGTTCAAAGTCCGCCCAAATTGGCACATGATCACTTGGCCCCATCTCTTTTTCGCTGTCCATTACTCCACAAGCCTTGACACATCCCTTCTCCCACGCCTTTCTCCCAGCGATAAAGTAGTCCACTCTATCACAACTACTTCCCCATTTCCGGCCTCGCGAAAAATACGTATACCGTCGCTCTTCTTCGTGCATCTTTCTCCAAACATCAACACCACCAAAGCCATCATTCTTGTCCTTCCCATTACCATTCAGCAGCTTAGCATGAAAGTCCGCTCGATTGATAACGTGTGCCTGTGCGAAGATACGTAAATTGGGATGTCCATCTCGCTCATCAAGGGCAACATTCATATCGCCTGCCAACAACACATCCCATCCTTGTGCCTCCAGCTCCTTGCATTCTCGCATTAGCAGAATATGAAATTTGCGTTTCCTGTCATGCCGCGTGCCTATTCTGGCGCCTGTTGAGGGATCAAAATAGGCGTTATCAGTTCCGTTTACTGCGTAGATGTTGAAAATTGCTAGTTTCGCTTCACTGGTCCTCGAGCTGACTTCTACAATGTGGATGCGTCCTTCTTTATCCCAATCTACTGTTCGCATGGCGATATGATAAGTACCCATGAGATCGTGACGGACGATACTGCATACACCGTATATCTTGCCATTACCTTTGGGTCCGCGCGCGTTAAATCTGTCGCTTGGGAGCGTGAAGTATGCATCATACAACGGGCCACGTTCATCGGCATATGCTAATTCTGTTGGCAGATAAGATTTCAGGGCTGCCCTGACAAAATTCTGGGTCCGCTCGTCCGCAGATGCGATTTTTACTTCTTGCAGGAAGAGTATTGATGGCCATTGGTGTCGTTGTAGAAACGCCCTCAAGGACGCTGGTAATAATGCGTGTTTTGGGGACCCATCCGTGGTGCCTATAGCTTTGGTGGGTTCGAAAAAGGATGTTATGGGCTTTTGTAAGAACGGAAGGATACCATTAATGTTCCAGGAAAAGATACGTAGGGAGTTTGCGTTGTGTGGTGGAAGAGGTGCAGGGGTGTTTGCAGGCACTGTTTGCTGGGAAGCCGTCGCCGTATCTGAGCCGGTTTTGCGTCGTTTCGCAGGCGGTGGACTGATATTGCGGTTCATAGTGGAGTAGTAGCGGCGCGCGGTATATACCACAGCTATCGACGTTCGAGAACACAGTATAGAATAGTCCTCGTGCTGGTGAGTGACGTCATATTCTCTGGCCTGTCCGCACCGGGCTAAAGACGCACAAATGCAAGCCCAAAGCCTTCAGACTTAAGCAAAATGCAGGCATGTTCCATTGTACGCGATTGTACCCGACAATCGCGCATGCACGTGGGCGGAGCGACGCGTCGGCCTGCTAGGATTGATTGGACAGTGATCAGCCACATCATTCACTACCCCTCCAACTTGACAGCACGCTACAAACCTCCGCCACTTTTCAGCCACTCCTATCGTCAATCTTACCCTCGATCCTTCAATTCAACTCTTACCTTCAACTATTATATCTCAGCCCAACATGTCCTACAGACGCAAGAAGAGTCTCCTCATCGGCATCAACTATGTTGGCAGTAGCCACGAACTGAAGGGCTGCCATTCCGATGTAGACAACATGGCTGAATTCCTTTCCTACCGCGGCTACACTAACTCACACAAAGACCGTGTCATCTTGACTGATCGTCCTGAAGTGCCATACGACTCACCCTACTTCCCTACAGGCCACAACCTTCTCGCAGCCATGGATTGGCTCGTCTCTGAACCTGGTTGCACGCTATTTCTGCACTATTCAGGCCACGGCGGACAAATTGCAGATGTAGATGGCAATAGGACCACGGGTATGGATGCTTCGATCGTTCCTGTGGATTTCGAACAGCGGGGTCAGATCTCCAGTACCATTCTCCATGAGCATCTTGTTACCTATATGGCCCGTGACTGCACTCTCTTCGTCGTCATGGACTGTTGTCACTCTGGTAGCGCACTCGAACTACCTTATGTCTATCGCTCCGATAGCGACGGCCAGATTAATCTGATGGACAACCTGAAAGCTGGGCTTAGGCTCGCCGACGAAGCTCGCGATATCATCTCCGGTGGCTTCTCCTATAGTAAAGTCGGCGAGGCGAAGGAGTTGCTTGCAGGTGCTAGCACCTTCTTTAAGGGCCTGAAACATTTCGGGGAAGAAGAGGAGGAAGGCCTGGAAAGCGGAGAATTTGCGGGACAGTATGGGAGCGAACGGAAGATGGTGACAATGTTCTCTGGCTGTAGAGACGATCAAACGAGTGCGGATGCGCGCATCGAAGGAGAGCCGACAGGTGCAATGACATGGGCATTCTTGGAAATGATGAAGAGCGATCAAAGCCCAAGTTATGCTGAGGTGAGTATTAAACACAATGTTTTTGACCGATCATGGTTTGACTGACTGGCACACAGACACTCAAGTTCATAAGGAGGACGTTGGATGAAAGTGACTACAAACAGATTCCGCAGTTGAGTTCGGGATTGGATATTGATCTGGATGAGATGGCTTTGGTGCTTTGATCTCAGAATACAATCATCAGACAATGATTCTGCGCACGTAGACAATCAACTATAGAGGAAACTCCAGGGCTCGAACAAGCAGTTTTCCAATTGAGTGTCTTGAACATAGATCGAGGCCTTCTTGTAGCAAACTTGGCAATTGACGTAGCTTGTATCACGCATGCATCGGTCAGTTCTTTCAAAACAACGACACAGTTTGCCAGTCTCTACAGCATGGCAATAACATAGGGCTGAAAAGGAACACGCAACCTTCCAATAAAGCCTCCCCGTTGTCTATAACGTCACTTTAGTCACCCTCCCATCTGATCGTCCTAAAACAATACCAAATTTCAAAGATGGTTCAACCCATCGACCCGGTCCGTATGCGCATCTTCTCAGAGCTCAATCTCCAATTGGCCCAGCACGACATCTCTAAAGATATCATGAACGAGACAGCCAAGCACCTTGCCTTCCTCTCACGCTACTACCTCAACAATCCCCACATCAATCCCCTCATCGTCAGCGTACCCATCGTCGACGTACCGGTTGTCAGCCCTGGAGGAGGAGTAGCTATGGCACACAAGATTGCTTTAGTCGTCCACGAGACCGCCTCGTCGTCTGCACCTGCATCTGCATCTGCATCAACATCGTCCAGGCCGCGCATCCGTGTGCTGATTCGAACAATCGGTACCTTGGGTCATCGGAAATGCCTAGTCACTAACTTATGTGCTATTGCTGAGCGTATTATCGGAGGTTTGTTAGATGGCGACGAGGATATGGTGGGTGCATGTGAAGTGAGCAGGAAAGGCAAAGAAAGGGAGAAGAAAGTGGGAAACAAGCCTGTGTGGGATGTCGTGGCTTGGGAAGATTATTGTTGAGATGCTAAGAAGCAAGGCAGAGGGCAGAAAGGAATGGAGAGGACTTTGGGATGTAAAGTTGATTGTTGCTTAGTTGTCCATAATCTTTCTAGCCAGTGGAGCTTGAAATGGTAGACGGATGACGAGAACTTTGCATCAAAATAACAGAAAAGAAAATCCAAAAGGTATCCTTAGCTAGAGCGACTCAAGCCATTTCCCATCACACCAAAACACCTGCCCGCTACCCGTCAGAAAGAGTTTACCCAAGAACAGTGCGACTGAAGAACAAACGCCTCCCAAATGCACTAAAACACCGCGATGAAGTGGCTAATCTTTTGCAACCTCGGTCCGGACTTCGCCCTTGACGTTCTCAGAATCGCGTTCTGTTTCACCCTCTTCCTTAGCTGCAGCAATTTCTTCCTTGTCTGCATTGTCTTCCATCTCGACATCTGCCGTCGGGGCAGATGTGGGTGCCATCGCTGTCGGTGCGGTGGGTGGGGATTCAGGTGGGGTCACGACACCTCCTGTGGGCGACTGAGACTGGTTCGGGTTATCAGCAGGAGCAGGTACAGCGGGCGGTGCATCCATGTCAATGTCACCATCATCGTCTGCTTCTTGCTCGCCGGTAGCGGGAGTTTGCGTACGCGACTTGGCGGCTGCGGATGCTTGGCGTGTTGATACGGCGCTTTCACCATTGATCTCTTCCATGCCGTCCAGATCGTCCGCCGGAGCAGCGTTGGGATTAGGAAAGTCGGTGATGTTCCGCTTCTTCTTGGTACCAGGTTGTGCACGCACCCCAAGACTGTTTTTGTAATCCTCGTCATCGCTTGCGTCGTATAGCTCGCCATCGTGCTCTACCTGCTTGTCGCGCTGGCGCTGTGTCATTCGTACGTCCTTGTTTTCATCGGCATCAATGTCATCGTCTTCATCTTCAGCGTCTGAGTCAGCCGCGCGTAGCAGCGACGTGGGTACATCGGGTATAGTGGTAAAAGCTTCAACTGACGGCCTTCCGGTTCTTCGGATGTTCTCGATGACGGCTGATTTAATCTTATGCAGGTAGTCGTGAGAGTTTGCGTTTTCCATGTTTGACGGTCGGACGTCCAGTTCGTAGTCGGGGGCAAAATATTCGTAATAGTCGTTAAAAGGCAGCTGCTTGGACATTTTGGTCGAGACGAGCTCTCCTGTTTCGTAGGCCCAGGTGCGCGCTACGTTTCTCATGGTGTAGCCACCACCTCCAAGTACGATAACTGGGACGCCAAAGCTCTTGACGTACTTGACACAGTTGGCGTGGCCGTCCATGCTCAAGTTGAAGCAGCCAAGTCTGTCACCCGAAAGACTGTCACCACCGCACTGCAAGACGATAGCCTCTGGCCCATAGTATGTCATAACAGCCTCGATGACGGGCTCGAAGATGTTGCGGTATGTGTCGTCGGTGATGCCGTCGCGAAGAGGGAAGTTGACCGAGTAGTTTTTGCCGCTGCCGACACCAATGTCGCGTAGTTCGCCGGTACCTGGGAAGTACTCGCCGTACTTGTGGAAAGAGACTGTCATGACGCGATCGGTCGTGTAAAAGGCTTCCTCGACACCGTCACCGTGGTGAACGTCAATGTCAATGTACAGCACGCGCTGCTTGTATCTGAGTAGCTCGATGATGCCCAAGACGATGTCGTTGACATAGCAGAAACCACTAGCCTCGCTCTTCTTTGCGTGATGCAGTCCTCCGGCCCAGTTGACAGCGACATCGCACTTTCCTCGGTTCAAGCGTGCAGCACCCTCCATAGTTCCACCGGCACTGATGCCGCAGAACTCAAAAAGACCATCAAAGACTGGGCAGTCGTCACCAACATTGTACTTGCTCTGTTCGCGCGTGAAGCTTTCCATGTTGTCGGGTGTGACTTTGTGCAAAAACTCTATGTATTCATCTGTATGGAATTGCGTCATTTCGTATTTGGAGGCTGGTTTTGCGCGCTGCTGTGTGTTAGCAGAGATGCACGCGGGCCTCAATCAGGGTTCTGCCTACGTAAATCTCCATCTTGGTGTACAGGCCATAGTTCATGATCAAGCTATGCGCCATGCGTATGCGGTGGGGCTTCATGGGATGTCCTGCTACATAGGCATAGTTGCCGACGTCGGAGTCGTAGAAGTAGGCGACCTTTTTTGGTTGCGACGCGACGCCGTTGTTCAAAGAAGCGGAGCCCGTCGTGGGCGCCATGTCGGTGGTAGCCATATCTTTGTCGGCTGCGCACAGCTATGCGACTGTGGGGGATTGTGGTGATGATGCTTTGAGAGGTGAAGATGATTTTGGACGGGAGGTAGCAGAGAAGGGTGAGTTCAGATATACGCAGTGCTCGAGTGTCAGCGATCAAGGAAAGGTGGAGGGGTCTGTAGGAGAGATGGCGGGAGCTCTAACAAAGACCCTCGCGCGCCATTGAGCATCCATGGATCGAGCTGCGACAGGGCACCCCTGCTTAGCCCCGGTTCCGGAATAACCGAATCGCCGCATCTGGCAGTCGCGCAGTTACGTGAGAGAGCTCGAGCATCAACAGCTTCATCATCGCCGCCGCCGCCTACCCAAACACTTGCTCCGCCCAACCCACCAACACCCTCGACTACTCTCCAAACACCGCACTCGCAAAACCTACAGTGCCATCGCCAATACATCACCATGGATCGGTTAACCAGAATGCTTGCCGCCGCCCAAGGTGGCATGGGCGGTATGGGAGGACCCCAAGGCGACACCAACCTGATCGACAACTCGGAAACTGTCTACATCTCATCGCTGGCACTGCTCAAGATGCTGCGACACGGTCGGGCCGGTGTGCCCATGGAAGTCATGGGTCTGATGCTGGGCGAGTTCGTGGATGATTACACAGTACGGGTGGTGGATGTCTTCGCTATGCCGCAGTCAGGAACCGGTGTCTCTGTCGAGGCTGTAGACCCCGTCTTCCAAACCAAAATGATGGACATGTTGAGACAAACAGGAAGGTGTGTATCTACCGGTTGGACTCTTGAAGCCGCCACCGCTCCCATTACAGACATCCAGTGCTGACAAACACAGGCAAGAGACCGTCGTCGGCTGGTACCACTCACATCCTGGTTTCGGCTGCTGGCTGTCATCGGTCGATATCAACACACAGCAGTCATTCGAGCAGCTCACACCTCGCGCCGTCGCCGTCGTCGTTGACCCCATCCAGTCGGTCAAGGGCAAAGTCGTCATCGATGCTTTCCGCCTCATCAACCCCCAGGCTCTCATGATGGGCCACGAGCCCCGCCAGACCACCTCCAACGTTGGCCACCTCAACAAGCCATCGATCCAGGCGCTTATCCATGGCCTGAACCGCCACTACTACTCTATCGGCATCAACTACAGAAAGACTGCATTGGAGGAGAACATGCTGATGAACCTTCACAAGCATGTATGGACAGAGGCCTTGCTCATGGACGACTTCAAGGGTGAGGGCGAGCGGAATACCGACAAGCTGCAGAAGCTCGTCACTCTGGCAGACGGTTACGAGAAGCGTGTCAAGGAGGAAACCGAGTTGACCAAGGATCAATTGAAGACACGATACGTCGGAAAGGTCGATCCAAAGAAGCGTATGTTCAGATATACAGATTACGCCAAGACAATGCTAACAACCCATCACAGACATCTCGGACGTCGGCCAGCAGCTGATCGAAGACAACATCGTCTCCGTCTCACGGCAGATGATCGACAAGGAAGCCTCAGTACCCAAGTCCAACTCACGGCAAAACGGCAACGCGTCTAGTGGTGACGACGTGGAGATGGAGGAGTAGCATCACATACCACAGCTCGGACGAGCCCTCTAGACTGGCATGAGCAGCTAACTAAATTTGCGCTCAAAGCAGACATACGATACAGTAATGCATAGAGTATGAGACAACGATATTACACAAACAGCCCCTATCCGTGGTGAAGCCTATCTTTGAGTGATCCAGAATTGAATGCTCACGAGGCAGGTACCAACACAAAGATCTCGTGTTGGATGGTCAATCATGTCAGAGCCATGATGTAGCACCAGGGACAAGTCGAGGTCAGCAATCTTGATTCAAACATGTACATTTTCGATACCTCTATGTCACGTATAATATTTTTTAGGTGCATGATAAAAAAAATGGACAAAAACGCAACATCAGCCCACGCTATCCGTAAAATCATTTCTCATACGCCACCGCGACACGACAATGCGCCCTGTCGTCGCGAAAACCCTTGAGGGTTGCTTTGTTTGTGTAATCCGTCCATGACCCACGTCCTTTCTTTGGTATAAAACAACAAATCACCGCCCCATCCTTACCCAACTAACACTTCATTCCCATCATCCATGCGTATATTGTGACAATACAGAAACAGCCAATTATTACGATCTCTTTCTCAGTCAACTCCGGTACGAAAAGTGGAAAGGTGGTTCCAGGGAAATACAAAAGCGATTTTTGGATTGGACGGAGGTTTAGGGCTTCGGTTTTAGAAGGAGTGTGGTAGGTAGGTGACTAGTCCGGGTCCGAAGGTAGTTGCAACAGCGCAACTCATAAAAGAGTGCTCTAGTGACCGAAAACTGGCCATCTTTACGTCCGGATAGTTCCTGCAAAATTGCTATGGTGAATGAGGGTTGCTTTCAAGCAGCAACTAAACTCAGAAAAACAACGGCCTGCCAGACTAAGGATGGCCATGCGGTTTACCTGACGTTTCCTCTTGATTCGACGCGTTCTGACTTATAGAGCGAATCTTCTTCGCATTCTCGTCATCAGAACTTGAGTGGCTGCTGCTTCCGTCTTCGAAGCCAATGGTTCCATCCTTGGACTCCCGGCGCAGTCTATCAGCCTTGTCTTTAAGGTACTGAGCTTGCTCAGCGGCTCTCTGAGCGCGGATTTGCTTCTTCCACATGGCGGCGTAGTGGCCGTTGCGATCAAGCAGCTCTTCATGCGTTCCCCGCTCCTGAACCTTGCCCTTATGCAAGACGAGAATCTGGTCAGCATGGGTGATGGTACTAAGACGATGAGCGATGATGAGCATAGTGCGGCCCTTGGCCAGTGTCGTGAATGCTTCCTGGATGTGTTGCTCCGTCTCGGTGTCGAGAGCGGCAGTAGCTTCGTCAAGCATGATGATACGAGGGTTCTTCAGAATCGTGCGGGCAATAGCGACACGCTGCTTCTCACCTCCGGAAAGTCGCAGGCCGCGATCACCAACCTTGGTCTCATACTTGTCCGGGAACGTCATAATCTTGTCGTGGATGCTGGCAGCTCTACACGCCTCGTGCACCTGTTCGTCGGTTGCCTCTGGGTTTGCATACTTGAGATTATACATGAGTGTCTCATTGAAGAGCACAGTGTCTTGAGGCACAACGCCAATGTGGCTGCGCACCGAGTCGATGGTAAGATCTTCAACATCATGTCCATCAACCTGGATGCTACCAGACATGGTGTTGTAGAATCGGTAGAGTAGACGGAAGACGGTCGATTTACCTCCACCGGATTCACCAACAAAAGCAGTAGTCGTGCCTGGCTCGCAGTAAAAGTCGAGGCCTGTCAGCGCTGGCTTGCGCTGATCGTAGGCAAAGTGTACATCCTGGAAGCGAAGATTACCCTCACACGAGGCCAAAGGTTGGGCATCCTCCTTGTCGACCACGGTGGGCTGCTCTTTGAACAGCTCAAGCATGCGCTCAGAGTTGATCATGGCAGACTGGATCATCCGGTAAAAGGTACCAAAGAAGTTGAGAGGGCTTTGCAGTTGGCTCATATACGTGAGAAGCGACACAAATCTGCCGACCTCGAGAATTCCGGCCGCAACTTGGTATGCTGCAATGAAGCATGTGACGAGTAGTCCGATCATGAAAACCATGTTCTGTGTGATGTTCATGATGTTCAGCGATAACATGACCTTGTACTCAGCGTTCTGATACTTCCTAACAGCTTCACGGTAGCGGTTGAATTCGTACGCTTCGGCGTTGAAATACTTGACCGTCTCATATGAAACCATGGAGTCGTTCCTGCAAAGGTTAGCTAGATGGTGAAACCTACAGATGATCACTTACTTGACTGCATCTTCTTCTCTATCGGCATTGACCATTTCTCGACGGATCTCAGCGCGCCACTGCGCCATGCGAATGGTCAGATAGATGTACCAGAAGGTGATGATGGCAATAACCAGGGCGTAGTAAGCATCGAATCTGACGAGGAAATAGGCAATGGCAACGGCCAAATCAATGAGCATGGGCACCACTGAAAAGGTCACCTGCTCGAGGAACGTGTTGATGGAACTGCCCTTTCCTAGGGCGGATAGGACCTCGCCAGTCTTTTTGCCGAGGTGGAAGTCAAGACTAAGACTATGCACGTGCTCAAATGCCGCAACTGACAGTTCGCGATACGAATACTGCGAAACAGGAATCCACAATGCAGATCGCGCCGCACCGAGTAGACCATTGCTACCCTGCAGAAAGCGAAAGCCAATGTAGAGCATAATGGCAGTCCATGGATTTCCTCTCGAAGGGTCCTTGAGGCGGTCCACAATCTCACCTGTGAGATCTGGCACGACAACGTTGACGGCGCGCTGCGCTAGGACGAGCAAGAAACACGCGATGACTACGAGCTGCAGCTTGCGATCCTTGGAAGGCCAGAGGTAAGGGAAGAAGACGTGATAGCCTTTGATATATTCCCACCAACTGCGCGCAGGTGCGCCAGTAGGCCTGCTCCAGGCGGGCGGTGCACCCTCGGTGTGCTGATGTTTGCCACCGACGGGGTGGACTGAGCCATATGAGCCGTTCGCGTGACCGTTCTCCGCATGACCGTTTTGATCGGCGCTACCTAGCAGGGAAGTGTTTTCAGATGGACTTCCGGACTCTCGCTGGGATTTGCGCTGTGGCACTACGACGAACAGTACGTAGAAGGTGATGAGTGCGAGGAGCAGTAGGATGCGAAGTAGGTCCATGGCGACCTCGGCGGACTCCCACTGGGTCATTCCAAATCGTAGTCGCTTGGCCGGTGGGCCGGCGGTGGGCTCCTTGTGAGGGTGCGTATAAACGGCAAACGAGAGGGCGACGAGGACTATTTCTAGGACTGTTGCCAGACTCCATGTTGCCAGATGCGCCTCGGTCGGAGATGGCTTGGAATCGAGGAGGGAGATGAGGAAGAGACAGTAGACGAAGAAGGCGCCGACGAGGTAAATCTGAACAAGTTAGCACATGGTGGAACGCGGGTGTGCTTGTTGTTGCTTGCTACCTACCACGACGGACTTGCCAGCCCACCAGTGCTCCTGCGTCTCGGCCAGAGCGTGGGCAATGACTACGACCGAGTTGCCGACAAAGGTGAAGGCCGTGGCCAGCGAGACCCATTCAAAGACGCGCTTCTGGGTGTGCGTGACATCATCGTGGACCAGCTTCTTGACGAAGTTGCGGGTAGGATCGGTGGCAGGAAGCGGCTTTCCCCCAGGGCCGGTTGTGGTAGGTTTGGCGATATTAGAATTAGATTTAGAAGCGGCAATGCTGCGAACGGTGAAGGCAGCCAGAAAGAAGACGAGCATAACGATGGGATAGGCATATTGCAGGACGGCGATGGCTTTGCGCACAGGGCCGGCATAGGTCCATCTCTCGTGGTCGTGGTCGCTGTGGGCGGCGGAGAGGTCGCCCTGGAGCAGCGGACCGGCCATGATGGAGCTTCTCTCCACGGGAATGTGAGGCCCTGATGCGAGGACTCACGGGTGGCAGAGACGGGTGGGGGACGAGGATAGGAAGGAGGAGATGGAGGTTATGGAAGAGAAACGCGGTGACATGTTGCTCGCTGAGACGGTGCCATGGGCGAGAGAGAGCTAGCACGAGTAGACTTGTGGCGCACATGCAGCAGGCATTAGGCCTGTCCGTGCGCGCCGATGATGGATTTCATCCAGACCTCGCGATAACCCCGGCCTGCATGCTCCCAGGGACGCCGGGCGAGTCGTGCACCATCAGCGTCGGTCCTGCAGCAGCCTGCAGCTCGTCACACTACCACTGCTGCTACACTTACACGCTTCCTGAGCTCTTGACCGTCTGCACCGCACCGAGGCGTGTCGCTACCAAGTCACGTCTTTCAGCAGCAGCAGCGACAGCTCCATGCTGCCACGCCCCGGCCTAGCGAGCTGCTCAGATGACTGAAAACCGTCGCACGTCAGCCGTCTCGTCGCCCAAGATACCACCGGCGCCGCCATTGCCACTGCCCAAGCAAAAGTCGCGCTCGTACTTTGAACGCTTCGTTGCGCAGCCCTTGACCACTGCCTATGGATCCCGCCCACCCAGTGTGCATGCCCATGGCCCAGATGGCGGCCCTCCGAACCCTCTAGTGCCGAAGCTTGCCGGGTACGTCTTCACTCTCACTTACCTCGAGTACGCGCATGCCCTGTACAGTAGTAGCTCCGATTGCCGCCCCTCTGATTGGTTGCCCCTCTCACCATGATGCTTTGTCTCTGCACTCTGTTGTTGATGTTTGCCCCGTCGCTCTTACCCATTGATGCCCACCTCCTCCTGCTAAACTCTGGCTCTGCAGCATCCGCACAGGCTATTCCCAAGATGCAAGCCACAAGACAGGCCTCGACATCTCTGCCCTCGACATCAACCGTGAACGTACCCATGCCGTTCTCGCCGGCAAGGAAATTCTAAAAACTGTTCGCGTGCAAGATGCCAAGATCGTCGACGAGACCAACCTGCGTGCTGCTGTCCTCCACTATGCCGACTCGCATGCCCGCCAGCGCGAGGGCTTGGGCATACACGACGTAAAATGGTCCCACGGCCAGTTCAGCTCGCATATCGCAACTGCCGCTGCCAATGGCAAAGTCATACTGTACGACCTGAACCGCGCAAGCGTCGAGCTCACCAGACTGCACGAGCATACGCGTCAGGTACACAAGCTGGCTTTCAACCCTCATCAGGGCCATCTGCTGCTGTCTGCGAGCCACGACAACACCGTTCGCCTGTGGGACCTACGCGACATGCGCAGAGACGTCACCGTCTGTCGCAGTCGAGACCACTATGCTGGCATGAACGGTGGCATTCGTGATGTTCAGTGGTCACCTACTGACGCTGTAGAATTCGCTTTCGGTACTGATAACGGAACCATCCAGCGATGGGATTTCCGCCATAACAAGGGTCCTAAGCAGAAAATTACGGCTCACGACCAGCGCATCTGCACTTCCATCGACTGGCATCCAGACGGCAAGCATCTAATCAGTGCTGGCGTCGATCGAACGGTCAAGGTCTGGGACTTCTCCATCACTGGCCGCCGCCAGAAAGCTGCTTACGTCCTGCACACACCGTTCCCAGTCTACCAAGCGCGCTGGAGACCACCGTACTGGTCCGATGAGTACCACGAAAAGGGCGTTTACCAGTGCACACAGCTCGCCACGTCTTATGATCGCGAACACTCCGTCATCCATGTGTGGGACTTCCGTCGACCGTTCCTGCCATTTCGGGAGATTAATAAGTTTCCTAGTGCTCCCTCCGATATGCTTTGGCACTCGCGTGACACCCTGTGGACTGTGGGGAAGGAGGGCATTTTCCAGCAAAACGACGTCCATCACGCCCCAAAGACCGTAGATCGGCGCAACCTGCAGGCTCTTGCAGTATCGCCAAGTGGAGAAGTCGCCGCTGTTGCCCAGAAGAGGTCTCGGCAGCCGTCTTCTACAGGCTTGGCATATCCCGACGATACGTACCTTGGTGATCCACGTGCAAGACGCCGCCATAGCCCTGAGAAAGGGAGTCTTAGAAGCTCAGCGGACGATAGCCTAGATGACAGCTTCCTGATGTCGTCAATGAAGCGGCATCATGGTCGCACCGCCAGTAACAGGTCAACCAAATCGTTTAGCAGTACCCCGCCCTCTGACATTGCACCCAAAGTCATGTTTCTCAGTGATTCTATGGTCGCCTATAGCGAGTCATTCAGACCGAATCAGGTCGCAATACGAGGCATATTGCCAGGCGTGGCCAACCCTCAGATCTTCGAGTATCTCGCACAGAAGTATAAGACCATACCTCTTTCCGATCCACCTGACTTGGATTCCTTCCTCCGGCTGGAGAGGATCTTTGAGCAGAACGCCGAGTACGCACAGCGGGCAGCCTTCTATAGGCTCGCGCAGGCATGGCGACTCGTTGGTACGTCCATTGCTGTGGCGACACGACGACGTGCCGAGTCACACAGACAGCGAAGAAGGCTACAATCGCAGAACACAGCGCTCCGACCGTCTGAGAAGATGCACCAAATCTCCTCTGAGCACATGGAGCCACACGAAAAGCGCTTGACGATCCCCCCAAATCCTGCAGTGCGAGCTATCTTGGGTACGCTAGAGAAGCCGGCATCACCGTCCCGATCGCCATCGATGCGAGAGAGCACGTCCAATCTCGCAACCCCTCTTGCTCGTCCAGTTATGAACCAAGCTGTCAACAACACTCATAGACCAGACTTGCTCGATATTGATCAGGAGGACATTGATCAGCTTCCGCCCGCTGTTACTGGACCACCTGTCGACGCGAACAAAACACTCGCACCGTCGCAAAGAACGTTCAGTGGACCACAATGGTACCACTCGGGAGACGACATTGACGAACGCCGTGCTTTGGTCGGCAGCTACCGCGCATCGCCCCGAATCCCATTGAGTCTCGCGCCGAACAGCGCACATGGCGCTAACATGAACGTGCCTCCCCCACTAGAGCGACATGATTCTGGTGAAAGCTTTACCATGTTCTCTGCGTCCTCGGATTCTCAGAGGGGCAATTCCATGCCAAGCTCCTTCGCTAGTACCAATTCACAAGTAGGCCAAGAGCAGTCCTTGTCAGATGACTGGCAAGCTGTGCAGGAACACTCCAGCTTTGGAAAGCCAAGGAACACTGGAGATCGAGAGTTAGGCAAGAGTATCTCGATTTCTCCAACAACAGTGCCTATTGGCAAAAGTATCGCTCATGCAAACCAGACATATCCACCAAGTTCGGCGGATGGGTTTGACAGTGGAGAAAGAGCTGTTCGCGATATGGAACATCTGCGACGAAATAACCAACTGCTCCGTCACGACAGTTCTGATTCCGAAGCGCTCACGAGTATCTCCTCGTCATCGTTCGAATTCAACGCTGAAATGGAGGCAAGCGGAACCATTGTGCCTGATGTATTCGAGGACTTGAGATCGCCGTATGTCCCTAAGCCACCCGCTCCATTACCACATGTGTCTGGGGGTGCGCCTCCGATTCTCGACCCAGCAGCCGAGGAAGGATTACTGGTGTCTGACTTTCAGGCTGTGCACGTTGATGCCGAAGTCGGTTTCCCCTATTCCGTCATTGGACTGCTGAATCATCTTCTCGATTACCATACGGATGCTTCGGATGCACAGTTCAGTTCGATTCTCCTTTTGCTTCTAGCCCCATTGTTACCACAAACTCACGGCCCCACTGATACTCCAGATGTTCATGTGGGAGACGTCTTGAACGCCTTCAGTGATACCTTTGTCTCCTTAGGTCTAACTCAAGCACAAGCAAAAGCCATACTCTCGACGCAATTGAGCCAACTGATAGCTACTGGTATCAATCCCTACCAAGCAGAGTCCATCCTCCACACCTACCATGCGCAGCTACAATCCTTGTCGCTATTCAATTCCGCCGCTACCCTCCGTCGATTAGCGTATCCGACATATCCTGCCGTCTACGAGCAAGCGCTGAAAGAAACACAAGTTGGCCTACTGTGCCTAAGCTGCAAGTCACCGATCAACAACCCTAGAGACAAGATGCGATGCGAATCATGCAAGCGAATGCAGGCACCCTGCCCGGTTTGCTGGGCCAAATACCCGGCTTTCGAATCGATCACTGCAAAGAAGAAATCGAAGGCGAAGTCGCGCTCGGCCTTCAAGGATAAAGGACATAAAAGACAACGATCGTCCCTCATGTCGCATCCAGACCATGATGACGATCAGGTCGCGGATGGTCCCTCGCCGACCACTACCGCCAATTGGTCGCCGCCTGCAGCTACACTCTGGACGTGGTGCCCACTTTGTGGACATGGAGGGCATTCAAATTGTCTATCAACATGGTTTGCTGACCCGGTACTATCAGACGGTGCCTGTCCGACCGAGGGCTGTCTTTGCGACTGTGTCCAAGGCAAACGCCGCGACACAAAGATTCAGGAAATGCTACTCAAGAAAGCAGAGAAGGACCGATCGAAGATCGTGCGCAAAGGTGACGATTGGAAGGTGGGGGAGAGTAAAGCCGTGTCCGCGGTTCGGAATGCTGCTCTTGATACTATTCCAGATCAACAGCAGCCGAATTCTGGGACCACAACACCGACTCGTCGATGAATGAGGAACGTCGCAGTCGTCCCTATACAGTGCGACATCCGCAGTGCGACACTTTCCGGCCCGCGACAATTCTCGACCACTGTGAATCGGCCCGACGACTACCATCCACTGTGCACACTCATCCACTTACTATCTACGTCCGACCCGCAGAGTCCGGTCTGACATCACCACACATCAAATTCTGCATCCTTTGTGTCGAAGAATAAGTCGGATCCGCACATTTCAATACGTCGGTGTACATTGATGGACCTGCCCGCATACTGCATAATCACACCGCTTGTATGCGCGCCAAGACATGTAAGACTGTCCCCCTTTGAAGCGACAGCCCGCTTCCCCGGGATGCGGGA